CAAGAATGCTTCAAAACGCATAGACACCCTAGAAGATCAAAATGCACAAAATGATTCAGATAATCAAGAGTTTCTACTATCTGAATTGAAAGATTATTACAAAAAGCTAAGTCCAAAAATGAAGAGAAAATATACTGAGCTTTCAAATGAAGGAAAAATTATTTACTTAAAAGTGGTTAAGTCAGAACGTGAAAGAAGTGTAAGTTTACTTAAAAGTCATATATTTTCATTATTATTTATTTATTTATTTATTTGTTAATATTAAACCAGTATTAGTTTTTTTACTGATATTTCTTTCCATATCTTTAGGAACTTGAAATAAGCTCAATATTCAATGTGATTTGCATTTTAAATCAGGCACCAAATTTCAGTCTTATCTATCTCAATATAATCATCATTTATTATTACATTATAGCATTAACAGTTAAATAATGCCTTCATATTGTTAACTGTTTAAACACAAAGTTCTAATTTCTTTTGACGTTAACACTAAAATCATAAAGTTTATATTAAAATTTGATGGTGCAACTTTGGTGTAGTCGCGTTTACGTGAAGACTGCACTAGGCCATCAATAAAATAAATAATAATGCCTAAAACTCTAGTAGTCACAAAGAAAATCTAGAAAAATAATATGCAACAACTTTTTTCAGTATTCTTCAATTTGGTTTAAACGAATGCTATAAAAATAGCAAGATTATCGAAATATTATCACATAGTGAATGGTGTGAACAATTACATATTTCTGGATCTTTTTTCAAACTAACAAATCAATAATTAAAATAAATTAACAAAATTAACAAATTAAGAACATGTTTCTCATCAACAACAATAAGCTATAAGGTGAATGTAGGTATTATAGTGAATGTGAGTATTGTAGCGAATTGAACATATTACAAGAAAATATAATTTTTTTCTAAGCAAATCAAAGTTTATCTACTAAGTAAAGTTACTAAAAATGCTGTTTTTTAGATAACTTCAAATTTTAAAGCGATTTGATTAACTTTTTATTAATTGAGTTTCATGTTATACTTCTTGGTGCAAAAAATTTTTGTTCTGCATCAAAACATATAATATATAAGTCAATTAATGAAGAGTTAGTCAAATCGCTTCAAATTTTAAAGGTATATAAAAAATAGCATTTTGAGTAACTTTACTTAGTAGATAAACTTCGATTCACTTAGTAAAAAATTCTGTTCAGTGCAAAATGATTATTAGTCAAAGAAAAATTAATGTACATATTATAATAGCAATAATCATATTAATATTAAATTATAATAGTGATAATTACATTCATATACAAAATCATGCTTACATCTATTCATATCGATATCTCTTTTTTTCTTTACTAACTCTACAAGCATAGTTGAAATTTCATCATTTATGAAAGCAGACCAGCTTGATTCATAATTTTTTTTATAAATTCTTTTTTTTTTCATAGTAATTTTTTCCAGAAATCATATTTTTATCTAAATATTTTTTATTTGGCATACTGATATAAAAAATTACTCTACACTAGGCTATTATAAGAATGGTAATTTATATTTAATAGCATAATTTGCAAACAACTGTGAATCAGATTTGAAGCTATAATAATCATGATTCCAAGGACTACCATGAACATGTAAAATTAACAAAGACTTTTTAATTAACAAAACTTTTGATTTGTATTCCATCAAAAAATCAGGTTTCTTGAATGAAAGTGTAAGGTAACAGATTATATCTAGATAATTACTGGATTTAATTGCTAAAGAAAACTTGAATTAACGCATATTTTTTTTAATTTCAGACAAGAATCAATTTAAATTTTATGTACAGCCAAACCTTTATAAATGCACCTCAGACCATAGTAAAAAAAATCACAGAATAACTCAAGATACAACTACAAAATATGGTTACAAATAAATATATGTTGGTATTTGAGTCTTATTATAAAATGTTCAAGATGAGTCGATTATAATCACGTTGTATAAAGAATTCTTATTAATTTCGTTCTGAGGTAAGTTGACTATGATCAGATTGACTTCTTACGATAAGTCAATTATGATTTTATTGTGTAAAGGATTTTTATTAATTTCTTCTTCATGAGATTCTCTTTCAATCACAGAAAATTTATTGTCTGTAGCTTTAATTTTATTTTTTTTTGGTAATTCATTATATATCACCTTTTTTATGCTTTCTTTATAATTAAAGATGAGCTATTTAAGAGGTGGTTTCATTTTCTAATAGCGACGTCAAGGTGGTATTTGTTCATTGAGTAAAGAGTATCAACGAATTAATTAAAAAAAAAAAACTTGGCAAATATTGATTAGGATGCGATTAATTTTATATTCAATAAAATTATAAATAAACATTTGATCCTTTATAAGATAATTATTTTTTAAATCTTTAGACTTATGTGATTTTAGAAAATCTCATTACTTAAACAATAAAAAAATTCTGGAATCATATAAGTCTGAATATTCTGATCTACAGTGCAGAGTGTCTAGATATTAATGGTCAGCAAAAACTATATTAGCAAAAAATATAAACAAAAATTTTCAAAAAAATTTACACAACAAAATTTTTCGAAAAAATTTTATTTATCCCGAAAATTTTCAAAAATTTTTTTTTCGAAAAATTTCGAAAAATTTTGAAAATATGCGAAAAAATACGAAATTTATCTGCAAATAAAAAATATAAAAATAATTACATAATAATTATATAATAAGGACTATATATTTATATAGTATTATTTATTAATTAATTTAATTAATTTTTTTTATTAAATACTGTAACAATTATATAATTATAACTATTCTATTTTGTCTAATATATACTTATAATTGCGCTAAATTAATTTAAACTCTAAACTAACCCTAGCAGCAATAATTGAAATTACTTTTTGGTGAAATACAATGAAATAAAATATTGGTGAACTAAACTGTCAGTTGTTAGGAAAAAAGGAATTTCAGAATTATGGGGCCGGAGAAATATTATTTTGAAAACATGGGCTTCAGAAAATAAACAACAATTCAGACATATTCGTCCATTCTGGTACAAGTCACCTTTTATTAGACCAAGAGCTAAGAACAAAAATTAGTTAAATTCCTGAAAAAAAAAACAAAACAGAGAAAAAAAAAAAAAAAACTTATCTGAATGGTTCCAGAAGTTCCTATTCCAATATTATTTTGGTACAATTCCTTGGTACCAGTTCCAGGTTCAAGATCTCAAGCCTGGTCTCTATTAACCCTTCTCGGCGAAGCACAAAACCTACAAAGAGAAGAAAACATTAGTAACAGCATTAAAAAAAACGACAAGAAAAAGAAAATTATGATTGGTACTTATCTTAGTACTAGTTCCAGTTCAAGATCTCTAATCCCAGTTTCTATTAACCCTTCTTAGCGAAGCACAAGACCTACAAAGAGAAGAAAACATTAGTAATAGTACTAAAAAAATGACAAAAAAAAGAAAATTATGACTGGTACTTATCTTAGTACCAGTTCGGTTCAAGATTTCTAATCCTGGTCTTTATTAACCCTTCTCAGTGAAGTGCAAGACTTACAAAGAGAAGAAACCATTAGTAATAGCACTAAAAAAAACCACAAACAAAGAAAATTATAACTGGTACTTATCTTAGTACCAGTTCTGATTCAAGATACCAATTCTGGTCTTCATTAACCCTTCCCAGCAAAGCACAAAACTTACAAAGAGAAGAAACTATTAGTAATAGCACTAAAAAAATAATAAAAAAAAGAAAATTATGACTGGTACTTATTTTAGTACTAGGTCCGGTTCAAGATCTCCAATCCCGGTCACCATTAACTCTTCCC